CCCAGCCTCCTGAGTCGCTGGGACTACAGGTACACGCCACCATGCCCAGCTAATTTTTTGTATTTTTAGTAGAGACGGGGTTTCACCATGTTGACCAGGATGGTCTTGATCTCTTGACTTCGTGATCCACCCGCCTCGGCCTCCCACAGTGCTGGGATTACAGGCTTGAGCCACCGCGCCCGGCCTACCACCGATTTTAAATCAAATTTCCTTACATGTCTGAAGCCTTCCTAGAATGGAAACAATAAAATATTTGGTCTTTGAGAATAAGCCAGTATTCTTTCTCTTATTTTTGTTGAAGCCAGAATATTATTTCTAAACTTTAAAGTTTTCACACATGATCTTTAATTCTGAGACAAATATCAAGGGCTTTTTTGTTTTTGTGACAAAGCCTCACTCTGTCACCCAGACTAGGTGTGATCTCGGCTCCCTGCAACTTCTACCTCCCAGGTTCAAGAGATTCTCTTGTCTCAGACACCTCCCAAGTAGTTGGGACTACAGGTGCCCACCACCACACCTGACTAATTTTTGTATTTTTGGTAGAGAGGGGGTTTCACCATGTTGGTCAGGGTGGTCTTGAATTCCTGGCCTCAAGTGATCTGCTGGCCTTGGACTCCCCAAGTGCTATAATTATGGGCATGAGCCACCGTGCTGGGCCTTCAAGGGGTATTTTAATAGTGCTGTGCTGTGGCATTACCTTTTGTAGCAAATTAGGAGAAAATAATGTTGCAAAATTCAGATATGATAAAGAACTTAGGAGGCCAGGAGCGGTGGCTCACACCTGTAATCCCTTGGAAGGCTGAGGTGGGCAGATCACCTGAGGTGAGGGGTTCGAGATCACCCTGGGCAACATGGCAAAACCCCATCTCTACTAACAAAAATTAGCCACATGTGGTTGTCCATGCCTGTAGTGCCAGCTGCTCAGGAGAGGCTGAGGTAGGAGAATCTCTTGAACCTGGGAGGCGGAGGTTGCAGTGAGCCGAGATCACACCACTACACTCCAGCCTAGGCAACGGAGCAAGACTCTTGTCTCAAAAAAAAAAGAAAAGTAAAGAAAATAGGGAATAGAAAAATTAAGTGACAGAAAGCAATTAATTAAAGCTAATTGTAACTCTGTCCTAGATACTCTTTTCTTTACTTTTTGATGCAAGGGCTTGCTTCCTCTGTCACCTTTCTTTACCTTCAACCTCACTGGATCTTGAACTATATGGAAATAACATACCAATAAACTACAGATACAGAAGATGAGCTAATTCTGAAGTATGCCTGAGAATGGATTGCACTGAACCAATGGTAAACATGGCAGAAGCCAAGCCTAGATCAATGGAGCATGCAAAGAGTTTCCATTTCCAAAATGTTCTCCCCATTTCTGCCAAAAGGAGGCTTTTTTTTCTTTTTCAGGCATCTAAATGAATGCAAGCAAGTAACTTGTGAGACTTCATAGTCAGATATCTTTTAAACTTTTAACATTTTTAGGGCCGGGGGTGGTGGCTCACCCCTGTAATCCCAGTACTTTGGGAGGTGGGTGGATTGCCTGAGGTCAGGAGTTTGAGGTCAGCCTGGCTAACGTGGTGAAACCCTGTTTCTATTAAAAATACAAAAATTAGTTGGGCTTGGCTGCACACGCCTGTAGTACCAGCTACTCGGGAGGCTGAGGCAGAAGAACTGCTTAAACCTAGGAGGCAGAGGTTGCAGTGAGCCGAGATCATGCCACTGCACTCCAGTCTGGGTCACAAAGCGAGACTCCATCTCCAAAAAAAAAAAAAACCAAACAACAAAAAAATTTTAGTTCCTCTGACTTCTAAAATTGTGTGTGTGTGTGTGTGTGTGTGTGTGTGTGTGTGTGTGTGTGTGTGTGTTTGCTGTTTGCTGTTTTTGATACAGAGTATTACTCTATTGCCCAGGCTGGAGTGCAATGGTGTCATCTCGGCTCATTGCAACCTCCGCCTCCTGGGTTTAAGCAATTCTTCTGCCTCAGCCTCTCAAATAGCTGGGATTACAGGTGCCAATCACCATGCCCAGCTAATTTTTTTTTTTTTTTTTTTTTTGTATTTTTAGTAGAGACAGCGTTTTGCTATGTTGGCCAGCCTGGTCTCAAACCCCTGACCTCAGGTGATTCACCTGCCTCAGCCTCCCAGAGTGCTGAGATTACAGGTGTGAACCACCGCGCATCTGGCCTAAAATATTTTAACCCAACCACTTAAAGTTATATTTAAAATATTTGTCAGGTATTATGGGCAATATAGAAACAAAAAAAAAATATTTATTCACCATCAGTCTTTGAGATTTTTTATTTTAGCACTTGTCACTCTAGTTTATCTCTTCTCTCTCTCGAAATGTACCCTATAAACCAGCCAAACCAAACTGTTCGCAATTTCCCAAAGTTGTTACTTTCACTTTTCTGCACGTAAGCAGTAGTCAATGCATGGAAATTCTGTAAGACTGCTTCAGAGAGTCTGACTTCAGAGCATTCCTGGCTTTTATTATTATAGTATAAGGTAGAAATGATTCCTTAACATATGAGTAAAATTTGGTGGCTGTCTTTTTAGGAAATAATTTCATTTCCAAAAGAAACTAATATCAATGCATCTTAGTGAGCAACTTTCTTTTTGGATGGCTAGTTGTCTTCATATTCTTTCAAAAAACTGGAAATTCATTATTCATCTTGGCTCTTAATTTTTCATTTTGACATACCTGGGTCTGGAGTATAAGTGAATGGTTGAACGTCATGAGATCTTCCAGCATTCGTCACTACATATATTCCCACTGATACAGGCAAAGTTATATGTTGATCATGATAGGGGGGAACCTTCACAATAAGATGATTCTAATATAAAGAAAAGTACAAGAGTTGGAAAATATTTTTTAAAAATTAAATTAAGTATATTTCATGTTAGCTATAAAGTTTAAAAAGTGACTTTTTTTTTTTTTTTTAATAGAGATGGGGTTTCACCATATTGGTCAGGCTGGTCTCGAACTGCTGACCTCAGGTGATCCACCCGCCTCGGCCTCCCAAAATTCTGGGATTACAGGAGTGAGCCCCATGCCCAGCCTAAAAAGTAATTTTTTCTTTTCTTTTTTTTTTTTTTTAAAGAATGTATCTTAAAGCTCAGGGTCACAGGCATCAGGATATTAATCTTAAGACAGCTTTTAAGGTAAAATCCAAGTGTTTTACAATGGCTTACAAGGTCAAGATCCCTGCCCTGTCAACTTCATGTCATTCCCGCTCTTCTAGCTCACTATACTGTAGACACATTGACCTTAGTCTTCTTTTAACATACTAAACTCAGTTTTACCTCAGATTCTGTTTGTTATTCTTTTCAACTGTAATATTCTTCCCTCACCTCCTCAAATGGTGAGTTCCTAACCCATTATCAGGTCTGATACAAATGTCACCTCAGAGAAGCCTTCCCTGATCATCCTATTTAAAGCAGTACCCCTCCCCAGCCTTATAATCTTGTTGTATTTCCATAGTAGCACTTATCATCACCTGAAATTACTCTGGTTGATTTTTGGTTTCTCTCCAACCACAAGAATGTAAGCTCCATGAGGATCTAGGCTGTTTTGTTCTTCACTGTCTCACTTGTAAAGAATAGTACCTTACACAAAATATACACAATTATGTTCATTGAATAAAAGAATGACTTATGAGAAAAAATATATGCCTACCAAGGGCAAAGTCAGTTACCATATATTCTGTACAACCTCAATGTGAGATGTACTTCACAATGCAGTTCACTACTCTTAACCACATAATTCTCATTTTAAGTCAAACTGGGTTCAGTTTATCCACATCTCAGTAAACCAAAGATGTTTTTAGTTGGAATAGTGGCAGAAGCATCCTTATAAGAGAAAGGCAGAATTCATAAACATTTCACCAGTACTTACCCAAGGGGATTATATCTTCTTAGCTAGTAATATGAACCATATTTGACTTTTTTCTTCTTCCCTAGCTTATTATAACGGTAAGGGATATTATAGGGTAGTGATTACGCTTTTTTACTAATGATCTGATTTGCAGGAGGCCAAAGCTGACAGCTGAGGGTGATGTGAATTTGATGACATTTTAAATTAAGTTAGACTATATAGTTGGTTGACTCAGTTGAACAGAAAACATGCGACAAATGAGATTTATAAGGTCAAGGTTTCCATTTCTGAGAATTTAATTTGTTTCTGAGCCATATTAAAACACTCTCTGAAATACAGTCACATTATAAATAAAGAACTAGGCCAGGTGCAGTAGCTCATGCCTGTAATCCCAGCACTTTGGGAGGTGGGTGGATCACTTAAGGTCAGGAGTTTAAGACCAGCCTGGCTAACATGGCAAAACACTGTTTTTACTAAAAATACAAAAAATTAGCCGGGCATGGCGGTATGCACCTATAATCCCAGCTACTCCAGAGGCTGAGGCAGGAGAATCGCTTGAGCCAGGGAGGCAGAGGTTGCAGTAAGCCAAGATGGCGCCACCGTACTCCAGCTTGGGCAACAAACGTGAAAAACAAAGGAAATGAAGAAACAAAGGAGGAAAGGAGGAAAGAAAGAAAAGGAAAGAAAAGAGGGAGGGAAGGAGGGAAGGAGGGAGGGAGGGAAGGAGAGGAAGGAGAGGAAGGAAGGAAGGAAGGAAGGAGAGGAAGGAGAGGAAGGAGAGGAAGGAGAGGAAGGAGAGGAAGGAAGGAAGGAAGGAAGGAAGGCAGGCAGGAAGGCAGGAAGGCAGCTAGCCAGCCAGCCAGGCATGGTGGCTCACGCTTGTAATCCCAGCACTTTGGGAGGCTGAGATGGGCGGATCACAAGGTCAGGAGTTAAACCCCTCCATCTCTACTAAAAATACAAAAAATTAGCTGGGTGTGGTGGCACATGCTTGTAGTCCCAGCTACTAGGGAGGCTGAGGCAGCAGAATTGCTTGTGCCCAGGAGACAGAGGTTGCAGTGAGCCAAGATTGTGTCAGTGCACTCCAGCTTGGGAGACAGAGTCTCACTCTGTCTCAAAAAACAAAAACAAAAACAAAAAAAGAAGGAAGGAAGGAAGGGAAGGAGGGAGACAGGCCAGAAAGAAAGACAAAAAGAGAAAGAAAAAAGACAAGAAAGAAAGAGAAGAAAGAATGAACAAATCAACTGGCTAGCTTCTAATTTACGGCATTAACAGAATGCCTCCTGTTAGCCATCTCAAAAAAAAAAAAAAAAAAAACATTCTTTTAAACTAGGTGGAAAATCATGTACAAATATGCATACATCCACATTATGAGGCAGGAGCTATATCTAAACGTATACAAGCTCATAAAAAAATGTACGGGTAATGATCAAATTTCTGAGAAACAGAGTTACTAAATCTTGTCTACCCTCATTTTTACTCAGTTGTTGAAGCAGTCTACCTAGAGTTAAGGAGATCGGTGGATGAACAGCTTGTGAGAGCTTCTACTCTTAAAATTATTTGGCAAACTCCACAATTCAAATTATTCTTTTGAATAGAAACTTTTTTCTTGCCAATTAGTAACAGGATTAGTATCTAAAAATCAGATGCATATTTTATCAAAATACTTTTACTCCACTTGCTTTGGAGAGCATATTTTAAAAAACTGATTTGAAGCCTTTTAAAAACCAAACGAGCCTATTTTGCTACTAATTCTTCAAACTTCCTCAATCTGAATCTAGAAATTCTACAACTGATCTGAATTAAAAATTAGGTAAACTGTGACTCATGATCAAAAGCTTTTTTTTTTTTTGAAATGGAGTCTCACTCTGTTGCCAGGCTGGAGTGCAGTGGCGTGATCTCAGATCACTGCAGCCTCCGCCTCCTGGGTTTAAGTGATTCTCTTAATTCTCTTGCCTAGCTAATTTTTAAATTTTTAGTAGACACAGGGTTTCACCATGTTGGCCAGGACAGTCTCGGTCTCTTGACCTCGTGATCTGCCCATCTCAGCCTCCCAAAGTGCTGGGATTATAGGCATGAGCCACCATGCCTGGCAAAGCTATTTTCAATACTCTTCTCATAAATTAGGTCAATTAACCATCACTGAGCTAGGAATACAATATATACAAAACACACAAAGGGTCAGGAGGCGTCTGGAGCAGGTATAAGGCTCTTTGGGATAAAAAGAGGAAAACAGTTGAATTTTAATTTCTTTTTTTCCAAGACGGGGTTTCAACCATATTGGTCAGGCTGGTCTCAAACTCCTAACCTCAGGTGATCCGCCCGCCTCAGCCTCCCAAAGTGCTGGGACTACAAGCATGAGCCACTGCAACCGGCAAACTTTAATTTCTTAGAAAGATTTGCTTAGATTCAAAATAACTTTTTCCTTAGCAGATAAGCTTTTTCAGAGTGTGTCAGCAATGGTGCTAGATATCTTTCACTCTCCTATGAGATACTTTTTCTTTGTCACATTAATTTTACAGTTTGGAATATACATAAACGCATAATTAGACTTGAATAAAGAAAGACCCATTACAAAATTACTATTAGAACCGATTTGAAAAACATAACCTCTAAACTTTCAAGTCTTTGTTTAGTCTAGTTGTTCCTACAAATTCTTCTGAGGATCTGTTTTTTGTACTTCTTTCAAGAATTTTCTTTCCACATTTATACTATCTTCCCCTGAGCTATCCTTTTATGTATATTTGTATATATTATACAGATTGAATATCCCTTTATGTACAGTCTCCTTATCTATATTATAAGAATAACAATTATAATACAGCATTATAAGCAAGGGAGTCTACATTAATCTAACCAACGTTGTCAAGAAACAAAACATGTTCAGAGCATATAAAAGTACTGCATGAATAAATTAAGTTTCAGTTAGGATTAAAACTCTAGGTATTTAAGGTCCTGGCTGAAATTAGGGTTTGGAGTATCTCAGAAAGAACAAATGAACCTTACTTAGACCACAGAGTCACCCATCTTTTTCTTCAAGGTGAATAAAATAAAATGAACTAAAAAGTTTTTCTTGGCCAGGCATGGTGGCTTAAGCCTGTAATCCCAGCACTTTGGGAGGCCGAGGAGGGCGGATCACAAGGTCAAGAGATCGAGACCATCCTGGCCAACATGGTGAAACCCCGTCTCTACTAAAAATACAAAAATTAGCTGGGTGTGGTGGTGTGCACCTGTAGTCCCAGCTACTTGGGAGGCTGAGGCAGGAGAACTGCTTGAACCCAGGAGGCGGAGGTTGCAGTGAGCCGAGATTGTGCCATTGCACTCCAGCCTGGGTGCCTGGCAATAGAGTGAGACTCTGTCTTAAAAAAAAAAAAAAAAAGTTTTTCTTGTGTGCCTATTAAGTGTTTGGAATTACAAGGAACACAGAAAAATTATAATACATTGCCTCTAACCTCCAGTACTCCAGAGGAAGCTATTTGTTGGTTCATGGGAATGGAGACGGTCTGACCAAATATAAGAAATAATAAAATATTAGAGAGAAGGAGCCTCAAATAATCCAATGAAAGAGCTTACCTTACAGATCAGAAAATTGGGGCACAAAAATTACTCATCTTACTTAGTTAACACAGATTGCTAATGACAAAGCAGGTATTAGAACTTTAGTTGGCCAGGTGTGGTGGTGGTAATCCCAGCACTTTGGGAAGCCAAGGCAGGCAGATCCCAGGGTCAAGAGATTGAGACCATACTGCGCAACATGGTGAAACCCTACTCTACCAAAAATACAAAAATTAGCTGGGTGTGGTGGCATACGCCTGTAGTCCCAGCTACTCGGGAGGCTGAGGCAGGAGAATCGCTTGAACCTGGGAGGCGGAGGTTGCAATAAGCCAAGATCACACCACTGTACTCTAGCCTGGGCGAAAGAGCGAGACTCTATCTCAAAAATAAATAAATAAATAAATAAATTTAAAAGAAGAACTTTAGTTAAGACTAGTCTGACAATGAACCCTAGGAGATATTGCCCAATGATCTCTGTGACAAAAGGAATGTTTGTTAAGTCCCACTATCTCTTTTGGACAACATGAGGCTAGTAGCATAAGGCTAGAGGAAAACTTGTCACATAGCATTTGTTTAGGTATATAGGAAGCTCCACACTATAAATATTGTGTAAGAAATAAATTTACCCAGAGAGGGTTCTGGTCTTTACCTTTTTGGCTGCTAGGAGTTGATCTCTAGGTTCCTGCAGTGTCTTGTATGACAATGATCTTTACTTGAGAGCTTTGGTCACTGGACAGTCTAACAATGTGATTTATAACAGAGGCTTTGGTCACCGGACAGTCTAACAATGTGATTTATAGCAGAGGCTTTGGAACACACCATATCAATTCCAACCTCATGGAAGTGAAGACCAAAGGTCAGCTGCATGGGCAGTATATGATCAGGTCTGAAATAACAACTCTGGACACCAAAGGCTTGGGTAAACTTCCCTGGTTGGTAATTCTCTGCATAGTTGTTACCACACATTGCTATGCTGAGATGGTAATGTCTTCTTGAGAATGACAGAAGGTTGGTGTCCAGGACACTCCTAGACCTTGGTTTATGCATCTCTCCCTTTAGCTGATTCTGATTTCTATCCTTTTGTTACAAAACTATAGGCACTAAGTATAGCACTTTCCAGAGTTCTGTGAATTGTTACAGGAAGTTATCAAATCCAAGGGGACAGTGGAAAAAACCACTGTTTGAGCCACTCGTTCAAAAAGAGGGTGGCCTAGGGACCTCTGAGCTTGTGTCTCATGTATGAAATGGGAGCAGTCTTGGCTGTGCCCGGAGCTTTGAGTCCGGCAATATATTGGATACAAGTTTTAATTTTATTAGGTTTTTAAAAATAGGAAAACAAGGAAATTATAAACTTTTTGGATAAAATGGATATATATTGTCCATTTTTTTTGCCTCTTCTATTTCTCTGCCTTCCTTCATGTGCTCTTTTCTATCCCCATCAGCTTCTTGCACTAAATTTTAGGCTTTAGGTAATTTACACATCAGCTTGTTCCTATTTCTCTCTTCTCTCCTATCTACACCTGTACATACTACCTTTTCTGCATGTGCCTTCCAACTTGCTTATAAAGTTGGCCTTCTGTTAGTCTTAATTTCTATGGGTTTGGTCCTATCTGCTCTAAATACTAATTCCTAATTCAGGTCTTGATCCTTGTTTTCAAGTTTTCATTGTTACTTGGAAACAATACATGGCGAGGTCTTATAGACTCTTTAATATCAGTGTGATGAGTGCTTCTAAACGCAAGAAGGCTGAACAAACATAGAGCACCTGAAATGTAACAGATTCTCAATAAATATTGGTTTCCCTTTTCTTTAACTATATAGTGGAGTAAGATTATTCAAATCCTCAGAGAAATAAATATTAGGAAAGAAATGTTTTGTTTATTAACAATGAAAACATTTGCTACTGCTCCTAACTTTTTAAAATAGAGGCAGTCATGTTTAGTATTAGGAAAATAATTCTATTTCAGTTAAAGAAGCTTAAGAAAGAAACTTTAAATGATTCACATCATCCCATATGAAGAAGAAATTTAATCTATTGATTCAAGAAATTTTCAGAATGAAACTGAAATGCTCAGAGAGTAAACACAAATTATAAAAAAGCTTAAATTATACCTGATGAAATAATTCCATGTCAATTTCAGCTTCTGACTTCCAAGAGTTTTCATCTGATTGAAAAAAAAAGTGATTTATTAAATTTTTGAACTTTTTTTTTTACTCTCTATGACTATATCCAAATAACAAAGTGAAAACATGCAAATATCTATACCCCAAATATGCCTACTTACCAGAAACATTTTCTTGGAAAATAACTTTAGTTCCTTTCAGAAAGTTCTTGCCGATTAAAAACACTTCTTCTTCTCCTTTCACTGAACAGCTATGCAAGCTTTTCTTCAAGATTTCTGGCACTCCTGCTGGCTGAGCTGTGGATATACATTTAAAGCATTCTATAAAAAGAACCACCCAAACTTATTTCTTACCTAAAATCAATTTGCAATCATATACATTTATAAGCATTCTATAAAAAGAACCACCCAAACTTATTTCTTACCTAAAATCAATTTGCAATCATCCAGTTCTTATGAGTTGTCTTTGTTGAAGGAGGGGCAGTACATATTTTTACAATAATACAATTATCTGGAAAGGCTCTAATTCTTGCCCTATTGACATCAGGCTTGGCCATGTGACTGGTCTGGGTAATCAAATGTGAACTGAAGTAATGTGCCAAGTCCAAGTGAAAGCTTTGAGAGCCATCACATGATTCTCCCAACTCTGTTGTTGAAAGCCACTGAGTTTTGTTTTGTTGCCTTTTTAAAAGTTAAGTGTTATTACAGCATCATTTAGCCTTCAGCTATTGATACAAAGTATCCTGTCTTTGTTAAATACAGGTTGAGCATCCCTAATCCAAAAATCTAATTTTTTTTTTTTTTTTTTTG